AGGAACAAAATTCAGGTCGCTCAGAATAGAGTGCTAGAATAACAAATTTACACGAAGAGACAGGCATTGCCAAAATAGATTCCAGAATTAGCGAAATTTAGACTAAATTAGCACAAAAATGTATTTTATCAGAACATGCTTTGATAAGAAATTTGTATATAGTAGATTAGGTTTATAAAGTAGTTGTAGGTTAGTTGTAGTTATAAGTAGTTTTCTCTTTCAATTCAAAACAAACCAATCCCACCAAGGTGGTCATTCTCTAAAACAGGCCTTATAGGGCTAGGAACTGTAATTAATAATAATTGAAATTCAAAAGAACTAAAGTTGAAAAGACGCATCTGTGTCACTTGATAAGTAACACATGTAAACTACACAAATTCAAGAAATAAAGATCAAAAAGTGTTTTTCAGTCAATTGTTGATAAATCACGAACTTGACGAATGCCTAGTGATCGAAAATTGAATGTTTTGGCTCTCTGGAAAGAAGCGAGAATTAATTTTACTTAATTGTAAGTTTTTCAATTGTTATTTATTATTAAAAGTGATCGTCAAAGTTCATGCCTTTTCCAAGTTTATGGGGAGGGGGATGAGGGGGATGAGGGGGGTGTTTTGTATAATTGAACCCAAGTCTCCTTGGATCTCATCGCTGGTTGTCTAGGTGATCACACCGTAATCCATCTCTAGGAGTGTTTACATCTGTGCGGATTTGCGAGCGCTTTTAAGGGGGGAGGGGGTATGTATAAATTTTCAAGTGACACAGATGCGTCTTTTGAACTTTAGTACATTTGAAATTTTAATTATTATTTACAGTTCCAGTCCTATCAGGCCTGTTTTAGAGTATGACCAACTTGATGAGCAGAGGCACGACAGCAGCGCAGTTTTATATCTTTTCAGGTTCAAGCAGAACGATGTGCAACCAAGTGGTACTCGTTTATAACGACTGGGTTTGGGGTAAACGTTTATTTAATGAAAAAAAAAACGATAAAATTATAAATTGTACATTTTTCGAAGGGTTTTTTTTATGAAAAATTGGGAAAGTATTTATTTCAGAAGATGCGTATTTGGATTTTTATTTCATCTATAAATTTTGGATTTGGATTTTTATTTCATCTATAAATGAAAAAGCTATAAGCGTTCAAAACCTAACACTACTTAACAACACAATTTTTTTGATTTGCACCCCAGTATGGTCGACAAAGACGTAGTTCTACGTCAAAGTACTCACGCGGTATCCTGTGTTATTTTTGCATTGAACAATATCTTGAAGCTACAAAGCATCAAACTTGCACAAAAGTTGCAAAAGTTTTTGGTGCATTCTTTTATGGGGAGATTGACTCTTCAGAGCCATAACCAATGATTTGTATCGAAAATTATAATACCATTTAATAATTCAAATTTCCCTCGAATATTTTAAAATGAGCTGATTTAGGAATGTGTGTGTGTGTGTGTGTATTCCCTCTAACCCTCACTGGCCGGCAGTGTTATTATGGAAGAACTCTCTCTACAATGTCGCATTTATGGTCATTGTAGACAGCTTTAGTCCGGGAGATAGAAGGTGATAGCTCTATTGCAGATCCAGCAACCCATTTCAGAATGTCTGGAGAGTCACGCCCATTCCGAGGTTACTTTCACTTCCAATAAGCTCCGCATGTATGCATCACCTTTATCAAATGGATATTGGTTATATATACACACTTCCAGGATTGAAAATATTGTTTTCAAACCTGGCATGTATTTAGTTTAATTTAGATATATTTTTTTTAAATAAATGGAAAGCTCTCACCATATTCTGCTCTTCCGCCGTCGTTAATTGCTTCTTTTGGAATCTCTTGGACTTTTTCTCTAACGCTTCGTATTTCATTCGGTGCATCACCGGCAATTTCCTTCCGTAGATCGTCCTTGGTTGGTTGGTTCTAATATGATTCCGTATTTTTTGGTCGGTTTCTCGTGTAAATTTCCGTCCAAAGTCGCTGGTCCACCGAGCGCTCCGTGTGCGAAAAGAGAATGAAAGAAAGAAATACGACTGGGATAAGTTTCAAGAAGTGACAGTTTCATCAGATTCCCCAACTAACCATACTCAAGCAAAGTAAGAATATACAAGCTATATTGCGACTATATGGTTATTTGGGTACTCATATGGCCGTCAGAATGTTTCATCGGTTGCGAAGTGAATATTTCTGAAAGTGTCGCTCTCTGACCGAAGCGCAGGGATGAGCTGATTTAGGAATGTGAGAACCAAAATTGACATTACATCGGGTGGTACATATCAGTCTGCCTTTTTGAACACAGTGTGCCGCGCTCATATATGGCACACACAATTTCAAAAATATTATGAAATGGTCAATAGGATGGAAAAAATTGCGAACACCATAGATACACAGTTGGAAAAAGTAGTGTAAATTTCTTTTACTATGATGCACATAAATGGAGCGTCATACACGCTAACTTTAAAGTACCCATTAATGAGTAAAAAAAGACCCATTTTCAAGAAAAGTGGCTTAACTCATTAAATGAGTAACACCAACTTTACTCATTAATGAGTATTCAATGGATGCGGCACAAAATGGGTATTTTTACCCGTTATATTTTTTCTGAGCATGCGTAAAAAGTACCCATTTTATTGATTTGTTTTTGCTTCATGGGGCTGCCAGTCATAAAATAAAGAACCTATTGAAATCTTTGCAAGTATAAACCGAAATCATTGAAACAAGTCATATTTTTGTTATTGAAAAAATTAGCCATTTAAACATAATATTATCACCAGCATCAACCTGTACGATGCAATCGAGGCTTTCCTCCAAGGGTGTTTTCGTCATGCAGCACAGTTCACTGCTGGAATCGATCCTTGAGGGATGTCGCTCATCGAATGGGTCCGGATGTTTACAAATATTAACTTTTTTCTCCCTTCACTGGAAACGGGTTATATTTTTGTTATGCCAACTTAATCCTCATCATAATGACACTTTTGATTCTTATCTCGTAGAATTGGTACAGGACCATACCCGGGAAAACTGTACTGTTGTTCTTCTTTAATTTTGTATTCCGTCACAATCAACATCAGCCGGATGGAATATATTAGTTCAATAACTTGCGTAATATTGTGAATCGAAATAATTTTGACCGATTTACAAAACACTTCACACGCAGAATCCACGGAAGCTCGATTCGCTCGCTTGCTAAAAATGATCGGACATTTTGCGTTTTCACTTCGAGCCACTCATTATTTTCACCCATTTTTATTGCATATAGATACTTTCCAAAATGAATAAAAAGTACTCGCTTTCCCTTTTTTGATAATACCCATATTTGGACACTTCAGAATAAATTCAAAAAATGAGTACAAGATACTCATTTAGTGGGTACTTTCAAGTTAGCGTGTATATCATACAAGTTCATATTTTAGTTCGTGTAAATTTATTTGACATGTCATGAAATATTCCATATATTGTATGTAACCGTCGATCTTTGTAAGCAACATTTCTTGCAAGTTGCTGTTTTACGTGAAAAGGAAGTTTACATGATCAGACTTTTTTTTCTGTGTATGATCTGTAATTTGACAAATTGTATCGAAGGTTACAATTTACAAAACAAGAATTTGAAAAAAAAAATAGTGCAGACTTGCTTTAGGGACAATTTAAGAAAATTGAATTTTCATAAAATCAAATTAATTTATTAAAATCGCTGCCTTCATAGTTTTCAGACTAATGCATACCAATGGCTTCGCAGAGTTTTTTTTTTAAACATCATAAAGAAATAAACAAATCTGAAAAAAAACTCATCTCCACACAGCAAAAAAACTATTTTAATAACGCATCAAAGTAGATGCACTTCAATCGTGTCAAAAATATGTTGTAACATTACTTGCCAAAAAAGACAAAATTATCATTAATACAGGACATGAACTGACATTCCGTTGCTTTTACTGTTTTTGTTTATTTGTTTGGCCATAAAAATTACATAAGATTTTCGACATGATTAAAGTGCATCCTATTGGATGTAATATAAAAATTAATTTTTTGCTGTGCACCCACTGTACAGTTCATCTAGCAGTACTGTGTGTCAATATTTGACTAGCCTACACCACCACCACCACCCGCCAATGACCGCTCGGTCATGGTCATGTCCCATGGCATTGCAGTCAGAACGGAGGAACGGTTTCGTGGTTAGGACTTGGAAACAAAATTAACTCACGTATTTTGGCCCTGACCTGCCTGTCTGCCTACCAAACTGACCCAGCAATACAGCGAATGTCACGTTCTTCTGATGGGCATCGCCGATAAGGTCTTGCTGCAAAACAGGGATAACATGAAAGTGAGCCAATTTTCTGTTTCGGCAGACCGAGAGATAGATAGAGAGAGAGATAAAAAGGGACCGATAAAAATGTAATAAAATCAAGCTGAACAATGCATTAGGTCCTAATTAACATTGACTGATTCTCTTCGTCGACTTTCTCTTTGCATCCTCTCGGTTAAGACATTACCAGCTAATTTCAGCATTTCATACGGCAAACACAACAAGAAACTGGTTAGTTATCAACGAAAGAGAAAATCGACTAAGACTTAGGACCTAATGCATTGTTCAGTTTGAAATGGCGTGGCTGTTTACCATTCAGAGCATCATTGAACAGTGAACCACAGCTTCTCCTACAGATGCATTGTAAACATGGTACAAAGCTTTATTTGATTTGATTAGATTCATGAATCGTATGTGTGTGTGTGAGTGAGTGAGCGTATTATCCGACAATAGAAACGACATTGTAGCAATTCGATTTGACTTCAGCAGAGTTTTTATCGGTCAATTTCATCTCGGTTGGCTGCTGCTGGATGGGTGGGGTAGATCAAATCAAATCAAACGGGTGCTGCTACATCAATGTTACAATTGCATAATATCGAATAGATTGCTATCGTGACGCAAACATTGCACATATAATTACGCTTAGGTTCGTTGCACAGAATTTATTATGTATTTATTTGTTTTTTTTTTTCATCCTTTCATGGACAGGTGCAACGGCGATTGATGCTCTGTCGGCTGGTTACCGGACAATTTTGATCGACGACTGCTGCCGCGGAGTGGACGTGAATGATATCGAGAGTACCAAGCAGACGGTGATATCGAGCAACGGAGTTATCGTCAATTCGCGGGAGGTAACTTAAATGGGCATTCGCGGGGGAGGGGCGAGAAAATTTGCACTGGAAATTCGAAAATCGTTTGCGGATTTTCAGGAATTAAATATAGCGGATTTTTAGGACTATTTCTAGGAAAGTTTTTGACAGTTTGACAGGCTGGGATCGATCGTTAATTACTTTTAACGTAGGACTACGTCATTGTGAACTATACTTTTTGGGATTAAATTTCAAATATTTTTTTTTTGTTATTAATATTTAATATGATAATTCATCAACAATTCGTTCGTGCTTTAACTTTTATATAAAGAAGATTTCCGTTTAATTCAATTAACTTTTCAGTTAATGCATCTTAATATAGATAGATTAATGCTGGTATTCTCCAAAGTTAAAAAAAAAACGGTGTAAGTAAAACTGACTGTTAGGTTCAGCTTCACAGCTGGATGCGGATCCTACTCAGATGATCGCTACATACCGTATATCGGAGGAAAAATCTATGTTCATCAAGTTCAAATCAGAGGTTTGCTTCATTGCTTATTGCACAAACGTGAACAAATTAATTTTCCAATATGCCGATGGAAAGCCAGTCGAAGTCTGCATGTCACCAGCGGGGGCACGGAGTTTACGATCTACCACCAGAAGTTCCGAATAGCGATCGAGCATTGGTGCTAGGGAAGTTCGGTGATGTAAAGCGTGTAGTACGGGAGAGATTCCCAGCTACCTTGGGCCTCGATATGCTGGCAGGTGTACGGGGTACTTACATGGACGTGAAAATTCCTGCATTTCCTAAGTCGGAAGGGGAATAGATTCTACCAAGGGAACAAAATCGTGTGTTGTCTTTGTAAGATGGAAGAGCATCGGATGTTGAAGCAAGAGCAGCCTCAGTACGATGCGAGGTTAAAATTGATTCAACTATAATAAATATTTTTTGATGATGGTTCTCACCTCTTACCCCTTACAAAGGTTTGAGCTTGACGATTTATCTTTAAGATAATTAAACATGACAATTTAACCAGTCACGCCAATTAATATTAAAATCACCAGCTAATATATTAAATTTACTACAATCAAGGAATGTCTCGAGTCAGTTCTCTAAAACTTCAACAAAACGCTGGTCACTAGAACTGGCAGAATGATACAAAACACCATAATTACCCATCTTCATGCCACGTACAACTGTAATGCCCAAGAACCAGTTGCCATTAATAACTTCGACATAAATAGCAACACCGCCAGTGTGTCTAGAATGTGATAAACAGGCAACAACAATATATACCAGAATACTATACTGATCAAAAGCTTCAGTTTCTACAATATGAGTTTCAGAGGGCGTTTTTCCTCAAAAATCTGACGTATTGCTACGTTGATAACCCCGCAATATTAAATTACAAAAAATCAAATTGATTCACATTCCTGGAACTTGGCTGCTATTTATTGAAGCCCAAGCTGCTTTTCTTTTGATCAAAAAGTATTTTATAGAGCAAACATTCAGAGCTAAATGCGGCATGATGATGATCTTCATCCGTCTGAAAAATGTCCGTAGGAGGCAATATCAAAGAACATGTGATCCAGCCATGAAAGTTATCTGGCGGGATTTGCAAAAACAAATTAAAAAGCGATAACTTTTGAAAATAATGTTTTGTTATTAGACCCGAGCTCCAAACCTTTTTGGAAATTCACAAACCTGTTCCTACGCTTAAAGAAGAAGGTGATAAAATGTTGATCACAAATTCAGAAAAAGCTCAGAAAGTTGCTAAGCAATTAAAAAATTCCCATAATTTCAGTTTGAGTCTTACTAGTCCCATTGACAATCAGGTTGCTCGCGATTATCTGAATATGTTCCCTTGGAAATTTTTTTTTGAGATAACTGTGATGACGAACAATTCAAGACCAACAATTGAAATGGCCTTAACTCTATTTTGTAAACAAACCTTGTAAGGCCATTTTCTCGCGAACCGAAGTCCGCAAATGCAAACCAACAATTCATTAGAACCGGTAGGGGAAATTCTACTCTACCCGATTGTGGTTTAGGTTTGCGAATGAAGGTTTTGGTTCGCGAGAAAATGGCCTTACAAGGTTTGTTTACAAAATGGAGTTAAGGCCATTTCAATTGTTGGTCATGAATTGTCACCTACCTCGCAAAACTGGTTCCAAACGACCACAAAGCCATAAGCACAGACAAACAGACATAACACATTGAATATTTCTCACTGTAAAACATCGTCGCTAAAACATTACCGCCATCTGTTGAGTACACTGTGGTGGGTAGTACGCTGAACAGATGGCGATAGTGTATAAACGTCAAACGCAAGGGAACTGACTATGCACGCCACAGGTGGCAGTACTACGATACTTTTAAATTGACCGTTAAATGCTTGTTCGATGAACAACTTGCTAGAGTTATGTCTGTTTGTCTGTGCCATAAGCAACGATGGTTTTTTGATGTTTGATATGGAAAATCAATGAGCGTAAACAGGTGAGGCCCAGTAAACTTGTCGTTTCTTTTGTTCTCCCGCTGATTAAATGGATGACGGAGTTTGACGTCACACTCTTTCAACCGGTTTAACGGCGGGAGAACGAAAGAGAAGACAAATTCACTGAGCCTTACATATTTACATCTCATTGATGGATGTTCAGTAGGCGGATTTGACAGCACATCCCGCCACTGATCTCGTACAGAACAGCCTATTGTATTGAGTCTCCATGCACAACTATAGGAACCTAACGCTTCTAACGTACCGCAACTATAGGAGCGTTTCCCCTATACAAAGTGTCAAAATATTTCATGGCGGTGTGATCTCGTGCTTTAATATTGTGTAATATTGTACCTCGAGTCGAACTGTAGATTCAAAAGTGATTAATTGTTGTTACGTTGTTGTTTACAAACTTTTACTAGTAACCAAGTTGGGTAGAACAATATTCGCGCTCGGAAAGCGTCGTATGACAATATCGGATACGGATCAGATGATAAACAGAACAGGACCGTTCCTTTGTTTTGGAGTACTCGCTAATTCATTTGGGTATTGATACTCGCTTTGTAAGATTTTATTATGTCGTAGAAGATCACCTTGTTCTTTTACAGAATTTTTACATTCATTTGAACTAGACCGGTACGGCATGTCAGGTCCTTACAATGGGATCAGCAGGTTTCAGTTGTTGAAAACGGATTTCATCGAACATCATTCCTAACCTTGTTTGGCAAGTCACTAGGTAAGCCGCCTTCAATGTGACCAATCCCTCTTGTTAGTTGCGCACATCTTCGTCTTGTTCCAGTCGGATCACTACCAAGAACCATTTCCATTGTGTCGTTATCCGACATTGTTACGATATGCCCAGACCACCGTAGTTGCCCGACTTTCACATATGATCAAAATTTCTTAACTTACAAACCTGTTGCAATGCTACTTAATGATTCAATTAAATCCAATCTTTTCAAAATTGGTTTAAAAATATTAGAACTGAGACCAAATAAGAAACGATTCAGGAAGTTCCTAATTAACGTGACGCTTTCCAAAGCATATTCAAAGCTAAGTCTGAACTTTTTTGAAGTGAGTTCAAACTTTCGAATAAGTCATCATCATCGAAACTAGTAAGTACGGGTTTGATAAGTGAGTCTCAGATTTCTGTTAACTGCATTGGCATTTGGCAAGGACACAATCTTGTTTAGGTCATCTAGTTTTCCAAATGGAGTCAAACCTTTTCTGAAGTGATTCAATACCTTCCTTAGGAAGTCCAAACTTTTCTGTTGCGTGATTGAATTATATTTAATGTTAGTATGAGCTTTCCTGAAGCAATTTAACTAACTTTTAACGTAGATTCCGCTTCCTTAGTCCTCTTCCTCGGTTTTGTGAGATTCGCATTCTTTGAAAATTAAACTGATATTTAAAAAATGGAGCTTCGTGTGTTCATTCCTGATGGTAGATTTTTTTTAACATTTATTTATTTATTTACTAGTTTACATCAACAGGCTGAGTGTAGCCCCAATGATGTTTAAGTGAATAACATTAAAATACATAGTCCAGCTTACTAAAATACACAATACAATAAAATACATGGTCATTCAACGGTTTACTGCGTCAGAGAAAATACAGGAAAAGCGCCGGCGTAGCATCTCTCGTGTCAGGTTGAAATCGAACACTGAAGAAACTCGATTGAACACAAGTTGAAGGCCGTCTATATCACCGTTCATGCTATAGTTAGTGCGATGCTGAGGCAATCTTAACATAGCGTTATTTCGCAGCGCTCGGGGTTGGACGTTCACGTTGATCTTCTCCAGGATTGTAGAACAATCAATTCTACCCTGTAAACTATCCGCGATGAGCCGGGCAAGCGAAGTGTTTCTCCGAGTACGTAGAAGCTCCAGATCAATCAGTTGACATCGACTTTCATAACTGGGTAGACGAAAAGGGTTTCTCCAAGGCAGCTTCTTCAGAGCAAATCGAAGAAATCGACGCTGAACGGACGCAACTCTTTCAGCACCATTGCTATAGCTTGGGTTCCATACTGCAGAGCAATATTCCAGGGTGGACCGCACCAGGGAACAGTATAGCGATTTGAGACAATATATATCGGAAAAATTCTTTGCAATCCTGAAAATGAATCCCAAAGATCTTGACGCCTTGTCGACAATGAACGAGATGTGTTGCTTATACGTTGACTGGGAGTCCAGAATAACTCCCAGGTCTTTTACGTGGTTGACACGGCTGATAGTTGTTTTCTGAAGTACATAATTGAACATGATCGGTTCCTTCTTGCGAGAGAAGGTGATAACTGAACACTTTCGGTTCAAGTTGCACCAGTTAGCAAACGCTTCGAGCTGGCATTGGAAGAAGTGACAGTCATCGATAGAACGGATCCTGATATAGATTTTAAGATCATCTGCATATGATAGACGAGGGCCTTCGAGGACCAGATTCACGTCGTTAAAGTACAACAGGAAAATCAACGGGCCTAGGTGAATTCCTTGAGGTATCCCTGACGTGGCTGGGTAAGTAGCAGACTGACATTCACCAACGGTTACC